GACCCGACGTATTGGCATCTAAGGGCCTGCCTACGTGTAGGCATGGAGCCGGAGGAGGTCGAGGCCATCCATAAGGTCATCGAGCTGGTAGCAGCCTATGGGGGGAAGACGCTGGACGTAAAGCGCGTCAAGGACGTGACGGATGCGTGAAGTGAAGTTTAATGGAACGAAATAACACCTTTTCTATTAAGCTTACTTCTCCAGATAAAGATCCCCCTTACACGAGCCTCTCTTGAAACTCCGCCAGTGTCTGGTGAAAGTGCTTGAATGACCACATCCCTCTATTCCATTCCAGCTCATAGACCGCCGCAGCCTCGACAAACTTGCGCTCTGCCCTAGTCATCAATTCATGAATACTTCGTCTCTCCTCTTGGCCACCCCCAAATAGGGCCGTCGCTTCGTCGATCTCGATGATGATCAGCGACAGCTCCGCAAGGCTCCGGGCAGGTCGCGGCTTCTCCGACGCCGTCTTTTCCAGCAGCGCGATCATCCAGGCCTTCGCTTCTCTGAAGCGCCGTTGCGCCCGGAGAGCTTGAGAGTATACCTCTGCGAGCTCGTAGTCACTAAAGGTAAACTCCAGTTTGCCGCCTTCAAGCATGTTCATCCGTACCGCCAGCCCCTTCATAACCTGAGCTTCGGCTTCGGCCGGCCGTCTCTGCGCCAGGCGAGATCTGGCCATGAGCTGGTGCCACACGCGAAGCAAAAAGTGATTTTGGCCGATGCCTCTCTGCAGCTCGCGTGCGCATCCTTCGAGCACGGCCGCGGCTTCGCCCGGCAAGCCCCGGTCGATCTTGATGGCGCCGAGAACCAACTGTTTACGAGCCAGCATTGCGCCCGAGTCGTCGAGTGAGTCATCCAAGTACTCATATATTTGCTCGGCGCGGTCGTAGTCTCCTAAGCGGAAAAAGCAGGGGGCACAGGTCTGTGCCAGGGACGAGGCGTACATCTTGTCCAACCGCGAGCGCTGGTGAAATGTGGCGAGGTAGCGAGCGCAGTGGTCGCTGCACTCCCTCCGCCGCCCCATGCTCATGAGCCGAAAGGCGCGGCGCACCGCCAGCAACCCGTCTGGAATCCGCCAGTCCGCGTGCTCGCTGTGGGCGGCGACAAGGTTGAAGAAGCGGTCGGCGCGATACAGCGTGCCGTGGTCGAGGGAGACGGGAACCCAGGCGTCAAGGGCGATCATGCAGGCACCGATCTTATTAAGCTCCGTGTCGCTGAGAAGCTCCGGCGTGTCATAGAGATTCTCGAGGCAGATACAGAGATAGGGATACAATGCCTCGCCCTCAGCGAAGCGCGACGCGTCGTAGGCGTTGACGATGGCACGCATGGCGAGAAAGATGGCTGCGCGGCCGCTCTTGATCCTATCCGCGCTCGACTGCCGCTCCCTGAGCCAGTAGTGGACGAGCGGATGAGTTGACATAGTCTTCTGGTCCACGAGCGAGAAGGACGCAAGAGTGCCGATGGCCTCGACCACCTGCAGATGTGGGACCATAAGTTCCGGTGGCACTTGGCGGACAAGCCGATCGTAGTCGGCCGGCGTCTGGACGAAATCGACAAAGTCTCGTAGGAGGAGCCGTTGTTGGAGCTCCGGCCCGCGGATCTGAGCGAGTTCGCACATGAGCGCGAACGGGGCACCGTCCGAGTAGAAGAAGGCCGCTAGGTCGAGGAGGCGCGCGGCGACGGGGTTCCTGGTGGCCACTGCGTGGAATGAGATCTCCCAAGTGGTGAAGACGGTCTGCTCGTACGACCAGACGGCGCGCGGTGGCTTGTGCCGAAGAAGCTGGTCGTGGCTCACGCGGTAGAGATCCATGTACTCGGCGAAGTCGATGGATTGCCCCGTGATGTAGGCGCCGGCCTGATCGAGGGCCAGCGGGAGGTATCCCAACTTGTGAGCGACATGGCGCGCAGCTTCTTCTTCATCGTCTCCGCGACGGCCAGAGCAATTCTTGAGAAGGGTTACGGCCTCTTCCTCTTCCATCATGCCGACCTCGACCTGGTGGCCTAGTCGGCGGGCCTCCTTGCGGCGGCTCGTGATGAGAATATGGCCCCACGGCACGCGGGGAAAGAACCGCGAGACGTCAAGATTGTCTAGATCGTCGACATTGTCAAAGACTAGGAGCCACCGACGCGACTCCTGCTCTTCCTCGCGCGAAAGCCACTGCAGAAGCGCGAGCGCCATGACTGGCATGTCCTGCTGCCCGCGGTCTTCGTGAGACGTGGTGATCTTGGGAACGAGCCCCAGCGTCTTGGCCAGCTGTGTGAGCGACTTGATGACCTCCTGCTCGTCTACAGCAAAGACCCAGAGGACTGTAGCGTAGCGGCCGGCGTTGTAGGCATCGTAAGCGAATGCCGTGGCGATCTGGGTCTTGCCTACGCCCCCGAGGCCCGTCAGCACGAGGCGCTTCTGTTGCGTGGCGTAGTGGCCATCCTCAGAGAAGAAGTTCTCCATCTCGGCTATGATCTTCTCACGGCCGGTAAAATGGGGGTTAGAGCTGACAGGTACCTCAAAAGAGACGTTGGAGAGGGTCGCTGCCTCTGTTGCCGGAGCGGGAACGGGAGGATAAGTAAGTGATAGGGGAGGAGGCAAGAAGGAGGCTTTGGGGACTGCGGCCAGCTCTTTATCAAGCGGACTTTCCGACACGTTTTGCGGTTCAGGTTCATACCGAAAAGCCTGGCACTTGGATGTCGCCTCTCTTGGGCACTTCAGCGCGTCATCCCAGACATGGTGTACTTGACGCTCTAGTGCCTGCGCGTCTGGCCTCTCTCGCGGGTCAACACGCAAGATCCGCGTGACATGACCGGCCCAGCAGTTAGCCCAGACGGGCGACGTAGCCGTGGCACATTGTTCGTCAAGCCACTGCAGCACCTGAGGCCGTACCATGTGACTCGACAACGACGTACTGGTACTGGTGCTGTTGCTGTTGCTGTTGCTTGGCGAGTGAAAATTGCCGTCCCGGATGTTGTTGAAGACTTGCCTCCGCGCCGCGAGGAAGCCCTCGACGTTTCGCGGCCCGCCAAGGGCAAAGGCCAGAACTTCGGCGAAGATGCAGCCGAACGACCAGATATCGGCGGACCGGCCGACACGCCCCACAAATGCGGCCGTGCCTGTGCCCGTGTCTGTACCGCCGCTCCGGGCGCTTTCCGCAAGGTACGGGACCCAGAACTCGGGCACCTCCGGGGCCTGGTACTGGCCTCGCCCACGCCGCGCGTTGGTGTTAAAGGTCGCCTGGCTATAATAGGAATTATGATGGTCATCCGCCGCGCGGCCCTGGCTTTCCTCGTTCTTGAGTACGGAAATGCCAAAATCGCACAGCTTCCAGCGGCCCACGGCGCCGTCACCACCGAATATGATGATGTTGTTGGGCTTGAGGTCCATGTGTGCGCACCGCACCCACATTTCGCCGCTCTCCGAAGACGCAGGAAAGCCTGAGTGAAGGAACAGTAGGGCGCCAGCGAGCTTGACGCACTGGTGTAGTAGTGCTCGGGCGAGCTCGGAGTTGCCCCAGCCATGGGTGTGGGCGTGCGGGAACCGCTCTTTGAAGTCGTACGACCTTACTACGTCACCATCGCCGTGCTGCCCGCCGTGTAGAAACTGACCTAAGTCACCGAGCTCGGCACGAGGGAAGAAGATCAAGAGCCTCGAGGAGGAGAAGCCCCCGCTGCTCCCATGTTCGACGACAGCGTTACAGAGCGAGATGCTATGATCTCCGGCCTTACCCTGGCGGAGGAGGCGCATGTTATCCGCCTCGGCGAGGCCATCGTCATGGTTGTGGAAAGACTTTACGGCGACGACGAGAGGTTGTCGTTGATGTTCCTTGTACGTTCGTGATGTCAGTGATAACGTGACGATGTTTTGATGACCTTGATTCCCGTATAGTGGCATAGATGGAGATTGTTCGTAGTACAATCTGAAGCGTTTGAAGCACAAGGGAAGAGAAGTTTGGATGTAGTTAAAGTACATACCGGCACCCAGCTTCGAGGGCTAGGATCTTCATCTACGACGTATTCAGGCGCTAGCTTGAAGAACTTTGCAAGAAATGACATGTTAGCGTGCATTAAATCCGATGGAAAAAACAGGCAAGGCCCGTCGTAAAGGTGCTTACTTTCACATCGCCGTATCCGCCATGCTCCTGTCCTGGGTCGCATTCCATGAACGGAATCCGCGTCAGCGAGTTCTGAATGACCTGTATTGCCGGCGCCGCTTGCGGGTTCAGGATGATCGTCGCCGGAGTAAATAGGTATTGCTCTTCCCACCTAGCTGTTTTACCTCGCGATAGACCCAGCGCTTCGAGATCTGCTTCACTATACGGCATCTCCGTGTCTCGGTACCGGGGTGTTGTGTCATCACCATCTTTGAAAAGTAGGTTGGAGATGTGCGCGTAAAACGAGGGCGGAACCTCGATGTAGGCCAGGAAGGTGACGAACAAGAGTGAATGTTTCCGGATGGAACTCAACTGTTGCTTTTCAAGGTTGAACAGGACATCTCCTAAGTTACCCTGGTGTTCCCAGAGCTTGCGAACCCTGGAAGCGAGGAAAAAGGGGCGGTGGAAGGGCGAGTCTAGTTCGGGCTTTGGACGGACCTGAATTGCAGGCAGTCCGTCGCACATCCGGAGGAGCTGCCGTTCCCTCCGCGCCCTTTTCTGTAAGACATCTATGTTGTTTTCCATTTGTCCTGGGTTATCAAGACGCAACGTTGTCTGAACCAGATCGTGAGTTGGAGACACTCTGAGAGGAGATATAGAGACTTCCTAGTACTCAACTATGGACGAGGAACGCCTCTACACATTGCTGACTGTCTGCTGGGCTGAACCGACTCGCCACCTCAGCTCCCCTCTCTTTGCGAGGCAACCTAGGGCGAAGTGGAGGGAGGGATCGAACAGCGCATCAGCTTCCAGCCTTCCGGCCTCTACGTTGGTCCACCACCTACCATGCAATGTCATTGACTCGCGGCGCTGTTTCTTGTGTCTACTGACCTCTCGAGTCTTCGGCCAGCCTCTCAAATGTCGTACAACATCCCTCCATCATTACAAAAGGCCAATATCGTAAGTGAGCCTCTCCTTCGTGATTCCACGGTACCCACGACGAGGCTCCTCCTTTATCCTCTGCTCCGTCCCATCCCATCAGCATCCTTCTTCTACCTCCCATCGCATGGATCACGGCAACAGAGTCGGCGAAGTGAATCCGTGCCACGCTCGACCATGGACCTAGTGCGCAACGTCCTACCTCAGAGACTATCACGATATGTCACTCTCGGCTCCGAGCTTCTGGTCCTACTCCAGGAGAGATATGGAGACCATATTGACTTTTGCATTGCAGTCCGTGTTCCTCCTCCTCATCTTGCTCACCTCTTCTAGGGAGAAAACAGTAATCCAACTGTTCGAACAGCACGAGAACGATCGCTGGTACTTTGACTGCCCAGAGCAACTTCAAGAGGTGAGGAATACCTTGGGCTTCCCCCATCCTATCGTTGGTATGCTGGCTGACGTGTGTCGATTCTGGACAGACCGAGCTAAGGCATGTCTCGCCGCAACGGCAGGTGCCGATACCGAGCCGATACTAACAGTTGCAAACAGGGAGATTGTCACTCAGATTGCTGACCGGCGCGATGCTGCTCGGGAGGCTGCAAGGAGGGAACGGAGGCGGAGAGAGCGGCGGAAAGGAGGCGGCACCTCCAGCCGAAGATAAGCGCTTGTCGGGCGTTGTGTATCCAATGTGGCACCCATCACCGCAGCCTCGTGAAGTGGGCGAATTAAATTGGGAAGCGAAGTAAAGAGGGTGTGGGCAAGGGTAATCGGGCGACGGTGACATGCATGTCAGGCATGTTTCCTCCCTCCCTCGGATATAGGGGGCACGGGGGCTTGTTATCTCTCTGTGTAACTCTCTGTGTTACCACACTTCGGAGGCTGATATCGTCACACAAGAGGTTCAGTCGCTTTCTACTCTCCTGTTCCCGTCTCGTATCGTCCGTTTCCCACCGAGAAATCCTCCTATTTGCGTTGAATGTTTCCCGGTGAAAGTTGTCAGAACTTGAACTTTGGGGAATGGAAGCTGCTCGCATCTGCTTTTTCTTCCGCGCAAACTACTTCAATAATCAACCCACCCCAACTCCGGTCCGTCTAGCTTGCCGGCTGCATGGCATGAAAAGGCAGATCAGGCTGTGAGAACCGGGCCGAGCCGCAAACGCTTCTGCCACAGCCGCGGGCATACCACAGGGCAAATTATCGACCAGCCTTGCCCTGCTCTGCTCCATGCATCGTGCGCATCATTACGAGTGGTTTCCATATGACGGTCTGGAGTCCTCTTGGATCCCTCCACGGACTGACTGATCTCGCTTCAAGAACTTGAAAGCTTCACGGGCACGATGAGTGGCTGGGATCAATATTTTGCGCATCAGCAGAGTGGCTTCAATCTCGCTGGGCTCCGCAACCAATTGGATGATCTGGCAGTGACGGCGTTTGCCTCCAAAGACTCGGAGACGCTCTTTGATGTATTGGATATTGACAACAACAACGACAGTATGCTTCATTATCGCCCCTCCTCGACGCATGTGTGGAATAAACATTGGTTGACAGCAAGGTTATAGACAAATTCCACGCAAGCATCGTCAAGGAAGAAGATGACCTCAGTCACGTTCTCGACACTGCGCCCACCGCGGGCATACGTATAATGTCTGTCACCTCTAGGCCAGAATTGCTTTCATCGGGCTTCGGGCTAATCTTCGTCTGTGATCTAGCTCCATATCGTCGGCCAGAACCATCAACCCGCTCCGGATCACCTCATCAATAGCCGGCAAACTATTCGATAGGTATCAAGTGCGTGCTGAGTTCCTACGAGTGCTCCTGTCCTTCGGCGACGAGCCTCACCAGTCCGAGGCCGGCAGCGCCAACAGCAGCTTTGTGCCTCAGGGCGACGACGCATGTAAGGCTTTTCCCGCACCCTTTATAATTTCCCTTCCTGTTTCTTGAGAGAAATTCATTCTGAGAACTCCTGGTAACTTTAGACACGCTACTCTACAAGCTCAATTACGTGGAGCGGAACGACCGATCCGGTCCCGACGCGTGGTCCTTCCGGCATGTTGGTGTTTACCACCAGCACACGCCCGGCTTCGACCTCTTCATACTACTGCACTGTCAGCCCGCTAGTGAGCTGGCGGAGACGCTCCGGGATCTCGTCGAGGAGGAGGAAGAGACGGAGTGCTCAGAGGAGCTCGACGACAAGAGCACTCCGACGGTCAACGTCTTCAAGCGAGACCTTTGCTCGCAGCCGGCGATGCTGCACCATTATATCCTATCCTGTTACCTCGACAACTGGCGAGCATACCTCCGCCATCTAGGTGATAGATTCTCTAAAGTGGTACGTGAAGTGAAGAGTTTCGGTAGTTTCCCTGATGAGACTGACACTTCTAACCTGTCTACCTATGAAGCTCAATACAGCTATGGTACCTCATGCCAAGATGGACCACAACGTCTGGGTGACCTTCAAGAGCGTACGCGAGCTGAGAAATACCAATGATCTCGCCCTCTTCGCCAGCGCCTGCTGCCAGAGCAATCTTGAGGTCACAGGCTGCATCCTCTCTACCGGGAAGTTCCTGGCCGCCGAATTCCGGTCCATGGAGACCATGCTACGCGGATACATCGACAGCTCCGCTGTGCTTCGTCAAAGAGTGGATAACACGGTTGAGCTAGTTAGTATCCTCTTTCTCTGTCAGATTACCTAGCGTACTGCAAGTTAGAAAGTGCCTGACGTTCTCTTCCTTGACTCATTTAGGCATCGTATACGCTCTCGCTGCATAATCAGCAAGAGCTGCAGCTCCTCACCCGCGAGATGAAGACACACATTAAGAACACGGGCGATGTAACGCTCAAGCTAAAGGACCTGACTGAGAACACGGTGGACGACAGTGCCATCGTACGTATCATCACCATCATTTCTGCCATCTATCTTCCGGGCAGTTTCGTCGGCGTAAGTGTAGCCCAAAAACCTATGTACAGTTGGGTTGATTAAGTATGCTCATACATGCCTCCGCTTGCAGTCATTGTTCGGAAGCAACTACTTTTCCTTCAACGAGAAGACCCGCAAGATTGCCATCGCGAGGGATTTCTGGGTTTTCGTCCTCGTCTGGCTCATTTTCACGGTCTTTACGGTGGCTGCTTACTTCTACACATACATACGGAAGAAAAAGAAGAAGGCGACGAGGGCCCTGAAAGATCTCGGAGATGACGTCGATGAAGACCAGGGTAACTACAACAAACCTTCTCCTCTTTCTCCTCCTTCCGCCAGGCAACATGCCGTCGAAAGTAGGCCCCCATCATCGCCATCCCGCCGCTTTCCCATCACTCGAAAGCGCGGCTGACGAGGCCGGTCGGCTCCATCAAAGGGCAATCAAGCATGATGTGTGACCCTGAGTATGTAAGAGCACGAAACTGTGGCCCTTGGTAAGGTAATTGATGCATTGGCTTCGGTGGAGCGGCTACTCTGAGTGCCAGATGGTTTAGAGAGAGGAGGGGGGTGAAGGCCGCGGGGGTCTCCACCACTTCAAAAAAGTATTTATCGGAGAGGAAAAGAGGGCAGAAGGGAGGGGAAGAGGCAAGGTGGCTATCTGATACAACTAGTTCGCAGAAGAATCTCAATACTAGTACTTACCTTACTGCAATATGCTTTGCAAGTGATGCACTTGAGCAGATATATCTTCCTGCCATCTAACAAGTTGTTGCTCAATGTCTTCTAGACATCACTAGCCAGAAGTTCCAGCAACATGAAGTTGAGAAGGGCCCCTTGATAGCTTGGGCTCGTTCGTCTTCCTTGATAAGGCGTCTGCAAAAAAAAGAATGCCTTGAAGATTTCAATCACTTTGATAAAGAGTCCTCCTTCTATTTGTTTCCAAGTGCTAGTAGACGCACGTAACAATCCTTCGGCTTGTATGTCAGGCCCTCCCTGGCACTATAGCCAGACAATTCTCTCGGGCACGGAAGAAGCTGGAAGTTCCACACAATCTGCGCCAAAATGATCCTCAATTCCAAGTACGCCAACCTCCTTCCAAAGCAGCCACGAGTACCCAGACCAAAGGCGAGCTGGGGTCCTGCCTGCTGGTCAAACTCGAGCCCGCCGGGGACACTGGATGACTCGACGAGCCAACGCTCTGGCTTGAACTGCCCGATATCGTCGTCATCCCAAGCCCGGGCTTTGGCACTCTGGCTGCTCTGGCTGCGATTTGACTCTTCGACGTTGAATGCCGGTTTCATCATGCTGTGGCCCTTGTTCAGACACATCACGACTGTGCCCTTGGGGATGTGGTGTCCTAGCAGCTCGGTGTCGCAGGTTGCTTCGCGGTCGACGAGCGGGGTAGCCCCGCCACATCGGAGGATCTCTTCCACGGCGGCATCAAGATACGGGACTTTCGTAGTGTTTCCTGCGAGTTCCTTGACAGTGGGACTACGTTGATCGGCGACGGCATCGGGGAAGGTGGCCCTGAGTGCTTCGCGCAAGTCGGTCTGCTTCTGAGGGTTATCTGCGAGGAGTTTGATACCCCAACACATGGTGGTGCTGGTTGTATCGTGTCCTGCAACAACTACACCAAAGATCTAGTAAAGGTGTTAGCACAATTTCGAGCCGTACATTTCCCGTGAGACGTCTGGCACCTACCTCGTCGACCATGATCTCGGAGAAAAAGTCCGGAGCCCTACCCTCACTCTCTGCCAACTTCTTCTCGCGGAGGACAACAAGCTCAACAGCGGATAGAACCTTGGACTCTTCATCGCCGACTTCCTGCAGCCTCTTCAGAGCCTTATAGATCTCTTCTCGTACATATGTTCTCTTGACGTGGAAGACGCGACGTAATGAGGGAAGTCTCTCGACGAACCACCACTTGAGTCTCGGGATCGGTGAGCCTTGGAGGTACTCAATCGAGTTCGCTACACCGAGCGTCGCTTGAATCTTCTCGTCACACTCTTCCGTTGGAAATTCCAACGCCTCGTCGCTGCTGAGACCTGGACCCCGTAAACGCCTGATATCCTCCGCACCAAGCCCCTTGACGAGGTCCGCTGTCGGGCGCAACGCGCTGCTGGGGAAGCTACCGCCAAATGTAAACGTCATGACGGCGTCCAGAGAACCGTAGTAGATATCCAGCTCCGCAGAGAACGGGCGTCCCTCTGCAATGCGCGCCTTATCATTCCACAACTGGATCAATCTCGAGACCCCGGCATAAACCGTCGGCGCTGCGACTTCGTTGAGGAACTGCGGCGACATGAGGTCCTGGAGGAGCCTGCGGTGCCTCTTCCACTCGTCGCCGGTCTTGAGGTGGATGTGGTGGTTGCGTCCCGCGCCCTCCAAGAGGTCGGCATCGAGGGACGACCGATCAAAGTCCTTTCGTCGCATCAAGATGTCTTGGGCTTCACGGAAGTCGGAGAGGATCAACAACGGCTTGCCGAGGGGACGGACGAAGACTTGAAAGAGTGGCGATTTGAATTTCTCCGCCTGCTCGTTGACCCAAGCGTTGAACTCGCCAGTGCGTTTGATTCCTTCGAGGACGGACGGGATGTCTCCCAACAAGCGCTTCGTCGCTTCGACATTGTAGGGGATTCCGGCGATCGGCTTGGGTAGAGCCCAGTTGTATAAGACATACAATACAAGACCTACTACGGCAAAGATGGCAAAATTCGATGTGGAGAAGGAGAATCCTATTACAG